TTGTATGTGGAAAGTGTTTGGAGTCAACTGAAGGCCTGAGAGCTGTTTGAAGGTTACTGATATGGGCAATTATTTCAGTTATCACATAATATAACCCATAGCTGTTATTGATGCTCAAATGAGGTTGAAAGAAGAGGCTACCTGCTTTGTAGTGTCTTTTCAATGGACTGCTTTAAAGTGATTTAATGTAGCAATTGCTTGCAGTGAACACTCTGCCTTCCAAGTGTTAATTTGCTTACTAGCTTTCTAGCAGAGAAGCGAGGCCTTAGGTGATAAGATTTGCATTCTTCTTTAAATGTATCGTGACATAGTGCATTGTTTTTAAATATGTTTTGGATATAAGGCAGAAATTGACTCAATCTATTAGTTCAGGGAACATTGCACTGCTTCCTTAATGGTAGAATTAAAATGCATTTCCAGTGTCAGGTGGTGTGTCCTTGCTGGCAGCAGGGCCGACGCTCCGGAAGGGATACAGTGCAACCAGTGTAAATTAGGTATCTCTGTTGCACTGGAGGTGCCCGCTGGAGGCTGATTAGAAATACCTTCCAGTGCAGGTTAGCTGCAATTGTGCTGCTGCTGCTGAGGACACGGTAAAAATCTTTCACATGGACTGAAATAGAGCAGGATCTTTCTCGGAGATTTGCTTGTGAGAGAAACCCCTGTCAGATCCGTGAACCTCACCCTGCTAGGAAGCTGTGTTTATTAAACAAAAACAATCCTGCTGCCTGCCGGCCTTCCAGCCCTTTTCATGTGTAGGGTAAGAGAACACCTGCCAAGAGGAATAACGTGTGTGGAAGGAGGCTTCCCCAGGCAGGGCGGAACACCCCTCGTGGTAATGAGATGTGTCACCCGTTACCTGCAGCACCCAGGAATTGGTTAAAATTAACCTCAAATGCTAAGGCGGGGGGGAGTCAATGTTTTGATAAATTGAAGTTTATTTATTTTTTTAATTAAGAATAAAGAACACAAACACATAGAAAGATTCAGCATATAAGACACCTTCTAGAAAAGAAAGAAATGCTGGAGATGAGGAGGTAAATGCCAAAGGAGGGTAACAGGATTATGCAGGGGTGCAGTGTTGCCAGCACCAGTGTTGATCTCCCCTGAGCTAAACTACGTGGATTTTTGAAGAGCTGTAAATGACAAAATCCCTACGTGCTAGTGAAAGATGAAGGTAGCTTTTTATACAATAAAAAGCCCTCAGTACTTGAATCTGTTTAGCATCACCCTCTTTCTGAGCACTGTATACAAGCTGCTTTGTAAATGCATGCCAGAGAAGAGATCCACATGGAAAAGTTTCAAGCTTGCAGTGAATTTATGATTTTTTTCCCTTTGCAGTAAATGAAATTAGAATTTTTGCACTAAGACTTTATGGGGCTTATGCTATAAGCTGTAATAGCTTAGGTCTGTATTGCATTATGTGTAAAGTCAGGGGGGGGAATGCAGAAAGAGTGCAGTTGGTATGAGCAATAGCCAAGGCACAGTGTGGATAGCATGTCCCTTCATAGGCTGATTCCAGCCCAGAATATCACAAGCATATTCAAACTGCACTAAGCAAACCTTGCTGCCTACAAAGCAGCACCTTGTTTTATGCTTAAAATGTGAGTTGGGTATTTTGAGAAAAATGATTGCCTGAAAAGAGGCAAGGGGTTTGCTGAGCGTTGGGTTCTTGGAGCAAAACTGAACCTGGTGGCCTTCGGCCTCCCCGAGACCTGCAGCGCGCTTGCAAGCTCCTTTCAACTGCTTCCTCGTGCCAGGTTCAGGGATTATTTAACAGTTAAACAACAAAAGCTGTATTGCTGCTTTACAGTGGTTTCCAGGAGCATTAATCAGTGCAAGCTCCAAGCAGTAAGATTTATTACTCCCCGTTCTCCAGTGCAAAACACCTTGTGTTTCTGCGCTCATTGGTCTGTGCAGGAGCTGCAGTGCTGGAAGATGTAAGTTATTTTCTGGAACATTTCGGTTTTTTTAAAGGGATTGTTAAAGATGGCAATCTGATCTGCCGTTGTGTTATTCCTTTCAGGAGCGTACCTCGAGTTGGCGAGATGCTAATGCATTATGACAGTATTTTGTTGCATATTTTATGTTCTGGGAACTGATATTTATACGTACACTTTGGCCCAGATTCTGGGACAGCAGCCTCTTTCACAAGCAACAAAGACCGTGCTAGAATGTCTTCAAACCGAAGATCCCAGGGGAATATATATGATTTTTTTTGGAGAGGAGCCACCTCCTGTCTCAGCTGCCCCCCTCAAAGTTGTGCAATGGGAGTAGATGGATGCTGTGGTCTGTCGGCATTCTTCATCCCTCCCTTTCTCCAGCCCCTTTTCCGTGCAGTGTCCATCAGCCTGTGACCAGAGTGTTAATGACTTGGTTGCCCTTACTGGAAAGGGCACCATTCCTATTGATTCCTATTGATTCCTATTGATTCCTATTGATTCCTATTGATTTTACTTGCTCATAGGTTTAAGAACAACTGCTTGTGCCTTCCTCGTTGGAAATAGCACTATTAAAGGCATGTTTCATTGCTTAAAAGTTTCTTGATATGTAGAATTAGGTGAATATTCAGAATTTTCTTTTTTATGGCTATAGTAAGTGTCAAATACACTTATTGATTGTAGTATATCAAATATATAAAAACCATATAAGCAAATGTGATTATAGTATATTGAGTATATCTGTCCTGCTTGGAATTATGAACAGGTTGTTCTCTAGATGTTTGAATACAAAAATGTGGAAAAGGTGGTGCTAGCAAGAGAGGCTGGCTTTGTCACAGGCCACATCCTGACTTACCTAGACAGAATGAGAGCGCTGAATAATTTACAACTGTTAGTGTTTCAGATAATGGGAATTTTTCAAAGGCTTGCTCTCTCTTGGTAGCTGTGATTTGGATAGCCAGGTTTGGATTATGGACCAAAATATGGTCCATATTTTGGTCTACAGGTATGGTAGACGTTAAGCTGTGTCTTCCCCTTCCCTGGAGTTACATTCTTGGAAAATAACCTAATAACAAGGGCTTGGCCCAGGAGCGTGGAAGGCGCGTTTGCCAGTTCCTCAGCTCCACAGGTCTCTGCGCGAGGCTTGTTGCAAGCTCCGTGCAGGCATTTCTGAGCCTCGTGGACACTCCGGGGCTGTGCTCTTGAGAAACTCCTCTTTATACAGGTTTGAGAAAAAGAAATACATGGCTGTGGTCCAGCTTTGCTGACATTGTGGGGTTTTTTTTCTTTAATTTTAATGTAGAAGTTTGCATCATTTAAGCTTTTACCGTGAGTGTACCTAACCTACTGGTGCAAGCGGTTTGTGTACTGTTGTGTTGAGTCCACGTGGAGAATCAAGTCTGAGGGTGCTCTCTATATCCTCTAGGTTCACACATAATAGGAGATTGCTAGGAAGCTGTTTTGGAGCCATTGTAATGTGGAGGTGTTCAACCTACAGCTTACTGCAAATTCTCCTAGATGCCCGTGCCTTGAGGCTCAAAAACCTGAAGAAAGAAAGGTTCAGCTCTTGGCTTACTTTTGCCTCTCCAAAGGTCCCTCAGACTGGGAACAAGATGCTTGATTTACTCTTGAGCAATCAGGGATGAAATCCAATGTATGTCCTGTAAAGCCTTGCTTATATAGTGGAATGTAAGTGTATAGATTGCACTAATCATCGGTCAGGAGAATATTCTGCATATGCTGAGTTAACACTGAAGCAGAGGAAGAAAGGTTTCAGTGTCCATATATATATTTTAAGGAAAAGGAATAAAGCTTCATTGCTTATTGTCCTTTCATAAATAGTATATGGATATCTGAAATATAGGTTGCTTTTATTTATACAGAATTTCCTACCAAAGTATAAAGAATGCCTGCTGGAGTAGGTAAGAACTTCATGCAGAGTAGACTAAGTTTTGGATGAAGTCTTTTCAAAATTGTATAATGCATTCAGGAGTAAATAATAGAACATAATTATTTTATTTTTTTTAATTTATTTTTTGCTGGTTAAGTGGTATCAAACATCACTGGAAAGAATTTGTTGTTTGGTACTATTTGAGGTAGCAGTTATATATGTCTACTTAAGAGTCATCTGCCTAAATACACATATAAAGTACTATCATGAATACTTCCAAAGAGCTTTTTATGTAAAATAAGTTAACTTGGACTTTTGTCAGCTTTTTGTGGATTGTTGTAACTAGTCCTTGTTTTCCTTCCAACAGCTTCTCACTCTGCTTTTGTTTCATTCAAAGTGTTTTGTAGGTCTGAACATAGGCTACTAAATTAAAACCAAGCAAACAAACCACTTTTTTTGCCTTTGTCACTGTTAGGAGCAAAGAGTTAATTTATGCAGGGAAAAAAATCATTTTACTAAGCTAATATTGAGGTACTTACTGTCTCCTTCTCAGCTCTGCTCTTCTGAATGTTGTCTCTCTACCTGTGCCTCGGGTTTGCTGGTGGGTGATGCTGCGATGCAGGGCAGGACGTGGAACCTTAGAGGCTTTGGTGTGCATATAAAAATGTTCCCTCTGGTTTCTAAAAGGTAGAAATATCTTGAAGCCTGGCAGAAGCCTTGATACCTGCCGTAGCATTTCCGTAGCTGATACCTCAGGAATGAATGCCCTATTTCCCTGCCACGGAGCAGGACGGCTAGAAATCAGTGGTGTGGCAAGGCTCTGGAAGCCGTTGTGGTGTTTGAAGTTGCTCTCACTGCACATTCCCAATACGCCGTCTGCTGAGTTAGTCGTGTTCTGGAATTTGATGCATTATCGTGGTAGGTCAACTCTTACAGGAAGCCACATGTTTACTTTGGCCATATGCATGTCTGCTTGCTCTGTATAAATTGATCTAGCTATTACTATAAAGGAAAAAACATTTATCAGTTGCCAGTTACTTTTTTTTTTTTCTTGACAATTAAGCCCTGTTTCTATTTCCAGGTAATGGAACAACCGCCTCCCCACCACAAACTTACACCTGTAGATTCTGCTTTACAAAGAAAGACTATTTTTTTGTCTTTTTCTGTTTCAGATGAGAATTCTCCAGCGAATTTCTGGGACTCCAAGAATCGGGGGGTGACTGGCACACAGAAAGGACAGATTGTATGGCGGATTGAGCCTGGCCCGTACTTTATGGAATGTGAGTACCTGTTTATGCAATGTAAGGCAAGCTGGTGGTTGGAGGATGGTGCCAATAGGGTGACATTTTTAATATCTGTTTTGTCAAACTCTGAAAAAAACAAAGGAATAGATACTTCTCCGAGGGACAGTATCCTGTTTTAGTATCCTTGCCAGAAGTCAAAAAAGAAAGAGTTGAGCTTAGTTGTGTCTGTCACTCTTCCTAAAGAGTGTACTAGAGCTTAAAGGAAGAAGAAATTGCCTCGTGCAATGTTATATAGTATACATGCATTGAAAGATTAACACCGTTCCCCAGTTTACAGTTTCAGCTGAACAAAACATTAATGACAGCTACACACAAAGGAAGATAATAAGCCAGTAGTAATAGTTTGTTAGTATTGAGTTTAGATTTGTCTTTAAGAAGTGTCAACCATCTGCTGAACCACTTCAGGAATTTCCAGGTAAGATTTTGTTACATTGGAGACATCCACCAGGCAGCTTTGAGATGCTGAGAGACCCAAATCTGCCTGGAAGGAACAGGATCCAGGTGAACTCCATCAGAAGTACTGGCAGTGAAGCTTTAAATCAGAGTGCTGTGCCCCTTGGGTTTACAGGAAGCTGAGCCACTCTGCAATGTGGTTTTTGCTGTTTTTTACTTTTCAATGAGAAGGAGTTATCTTACCCTCTAAAGCATTTGATCCCCAGAAGAAGCTGCCATTCTAATCCTCAAACGGCGCATGGGAGCTTGTTGGAGACTGCCCTGCTGAGAGTCAAGGTGGCACTCTGTGTCCCCAAGGAGCTATGAGCTGCTCTGCCTCCTGGTTAGCTTCACAGTCATGAATCTTGCTTCAGAAATTAGAAAAATAGATGTATATCCAGACTCTAATCATGACTACACACTGCAATGCTGCTAACTGTAGCATTTGATACAGATTCTCTTTCTAATTAACTGATATAACAGCAGCAATACATGTATTTCAAGAGATGTTGTATACCATTTGCTATGAATAATAATTGTAACTTCATATTTCTACAACTCATCATTGCATTGTGTCAAGTTACCATATCTGTTCCACAACATTTTTGTATATACAAATGCAATACAGCAACATAGGAGTGGGAAAAAATTTTGACAGGATAAAATCAGTATCAATTTTGGGAGTTTATTGCGAGAAAAAAATGGTTGAACTGAAGATGAAGATCAAGGAAATGATGAAGGTCAAGAAGACGATTAAGGCAGAGACTTGCAGGGCTCATTGTTGAGCCTGTGAGGGTCCTCTTGACCTTCTCCTGGAGTCCTTGCTTGTGCCGTGACGTGCCGGAGCTCCCCAGGGCTGCTGTTAAGCTGCATATGTAACTGAGGTAGAGATGGGCTTTTGTGGCAGTAGTATTCGAAATAGCTCAAAGCTGTTTTGTGTTGATCAGCTTGAAGCACAGGCAGCTCTTGACTGCCCTGCCTATATGTTGCTCTACCTATACAACTGTCAGGCTCCCTCCTCTACCTATACATGAAGAGAGGGAGGGGATGGGGTATTAGTTATAGACTGGGGAAGCCTTGAGCCAACCTGGCAATGAGAACCGATACATTAACAGAATTGCATTACATAACTATGATAATTGCTTGGGAATTACAGTCAGAAGGTAAGCGAACCTGGTCTGAAATAATCCGTCTCTTTGGCAAGAAAAGCAGCTGAAATTACTAATGTTGAATAATGAGATCCATCAATATGAAGATTACCCAAATGTTTGGTTGTATTTTTTTTTCCTACCATTGTCAAAGCTTCAGGACATGGCCTATCTTCTCACCTGCAAGGCTGTACCCTCTGAGTATAACATATGCTGAGCATAACTGTAAATGTACTCATAGTTTAATTGAGGTCCATGAAGTTTATGATGAAGGTTAGACCTTGGTTAAGCTTTTTTTCTTCTTCTTCTTTTTTCTTTATTTTTTCTGAATTTGACATCACTGTATACCTGTGGTCTTGTAATGCAGTTTTCTAGGCATTCTGTCTGTTCTTCCTAAAACCTCTCCTTGTAGGTTTAGCAGCTCCTATTTCCCAACCAAATATCAGGTTTAGAGGCAATTTGACATCTCCTGCATTCAGATCAGGCAACCCCCAGGAAGAAGGGGAGGGAGATGCTCATTATACTTGCACTAAAGAGACATCAGTTCCCCCCAAAGCACCAAAAAGTAGCAAAACAAAGATGATCAAAGCAAACTCTCACTAGCTTGCAAGAAAAATCAACATGAGAAAATTTCCATAGACTGTACCCCGAGAAGGGAGATTCAAAGGAATCGGCAATGAAAGAGCAAGAAATAAGCTTAATGTGTCCCAGAAATAGAAACCACCTCAGAGAGGAGCAGCTGAGGGAAAAGAAAAGAGGATGCAGAGGGGAAATGAAATATATGCAAAGAGCAAACTCCAGCTCACCCTCGCAAGCAGCTGGTGCCCTTAAGCTGTCACTGCTGGCCAAAGTGGCTGACCAGCCACCACAGACAGAGACTCCTTTTTCCTTTCCCTCGGGAAGGACCCACAGGGCGATGGAAGCACGAAAAGGAGGTTCACCAAAGGAAATATGAGCAGCAAGATCCCTGAGATGGTGTTTCAGGACTTACATAACAATATATACACACTGCATAATTGAGGTGGTGTGGTACTTGATGCTCTGAGGCTTGCTGAAATGTGTGGGAAGGAAAACAGTGACTCACCAGACAGCTCTGTAAAGTTGTTGGCTGTATAATCTGCAGGAGGATTGCCTAAAAATGACCATGACTCCCCGAAGAGTTTTCCAACCTCTGTAAAATAAAGGGACAATTTTGAGGAACAAGACAAGTTCGCAGCAGGTGGCAACACTGCAGTAGAATCTTTACTTTAGGGTAATAATTTTGCGGATATTTATAATATTCTATGTCATCGTCATTCCTGCAAGCGAGATAAAAATATGTTTATTTGCATACATTTTCTGTAGTGATGCTGTGAGTTTACATCTTGAACTGTAATCCAGAGTGGCAGCTGTTGGGATGCATCCAGAAACTGCCAGTCTTGTCACATCGATCATTTCCAAGTCACCCTTGGGATGCTTGTGGCTAAATTACTTCTGGTGCCACAGTGCAGTACGCAGATAGAGTGGCTGCACAGCCCGTGTTTGCTCTGTACTTAAAATCTCAGTTTTGTGACTGGAATAAACTACAAGATAAATTCAGAAAATATGATAACACATGTGTTTGCATTAGGCGGATTTAATTTACAATTCAGGTTTTATAGACGGATCTTTAGCCTCTCTGCTGAGACTGAAACTTGCCATACTTTACACTTAGTAGAGCAGATTCCTACCCCTTTTTTTTTTGTTTCATTTTTGTTTAAATATGATTTTTTTCAAAAATTGGCTTCAGAATTGAATTTGTTGGTTTTAGCTTTTAGGGGCTGCTCCAATGAAGAGTAATTTTATCTGTTAAGAGATATAAGCCCTGTTCAGTGTTTTGAATGGTTTTGAACAAAATGGTCGAGGATGATGAATATTCTGCCAACATGATTCGTTGCCCATTTCCTGCCTTCACATGTTCTTGATCTTCCTTTAGCTGTAGGTTTCATTTGAGTGAAATTCAGCAGGTCATAGTTTGGGACTGGGTAACTTTGTGTAACCAGTGCCGTTACTCTTAACTGGAGATTCTCCTGCCACCGTTGTCTCTAAGCTATTTGTGAACACATTCCCTGGCTTAGAAACATTCATACCTGTTCTTAAAAGGGGAAAAAAATATTGAACTGAATTATCTGCCTCCTGGAGAGGAGTGAGTTCTCCTATAATTATGTTGGTACTTATGTATTTCAAGTATATTTTTATGCAAAAACAACTTTTTTGATGGACAAAGATAAAATATGAAAGGCAGGGAACAGATGAAGTGAGGGACTTGGGGGAATTATGCGTTTTTTAAAAGCAAGCTATTATTTGAAATAAGCTGATGAGACGAGAGTGCATAGTCCATGGAGAGAATACAGCACTATAATCTCATGCAGGAGTTCTTTTGAAATTCAAATGTCAGTGTTTGAGTCCTAGAAACCCATCGTTAATTCCAGCGTTTTTATATAATGGACCTGAGCTATAAATCTATGGCTATAAAAGAGCAACAGCCATTGGCTTTAGAAGGAGGAGATTATGGTGTTATGGAGTGTTCAGATTAATTAATTAACATGGCAGTTTTTTATATGGCTCTTTCTGATATGTTTTACAGATTCATCGAGCCATTGCTGGGTTCTTTTTTGAAGAGATAAATTTGGAGAAATTAGTGTTTTTCTACAGACTGAGAAGTAGCTTCCAAATACTTCCAAGCACTCAAACTGCAATTTTACGGGAGCTAAAAGTATTAGGTGCCCATTTGGCTGTAGGCGTTGTTGATAAGTCAACAGAAATCCTCGATTTAGGAAGAAGTTGCAGTTGAGGGCTCAAAATTGTTACATATATCTAATGAACTTTTGTAGGTGATTAGAAATCCAATTTGTATTTTGAATTTTTCTTTAAGGCTGCTTGTAAATAGAGCAGACTACTGGTTGTAAATAGAGCAGGCTAAGTTAGTCCTATATTTTGACTGTCTATAAACCAGCTGCAAGTGGGAAGAAGAGGACTCAGCAGCTCTACACTGGACATATCCCTGGTGGTTCTGTTAAGCCAGGTGCTTTCCTTTGAAGGACAATTCTGAGATTCATTCGCTTTGTAAATGAATGCTGAACCAGAACTGCAAGTATTTACATTTTATTCTTGGCTGAGCATGTTTGCAGAATGGGTTTTGATCCCCTCTAAATAGGGATGAGTGTGCGTTTCATCATCTTCGCAGCAGTGAAATACTTCAGCCTTCAAGGAATCGCACTCCCTGCCTCCAAATACCATTTTGGCACATTTAGATTCCGGACATGCTGTTGAACTGGGATGGAGGGATTGTCCTGCACAGACTGTCAGGCCCATCTGAACTGTCTGAACCTCTCACTGAAGTTATTCCAGCAGAAAAGGAAAAGAGAAAGATTGTTCTATATAGGGCAGAAAACATAGGATCCAAGTCAGCCATAATTAGAGGGTTTTTAGCCCAGCTGGAGGAACACAGAGTAACAACAGTGGATATCAGGCTTTAGTTAAACGTAATAGCCTGCAAGCAGCAGGCTAAGCTCTGTTGAATGGAATCAGAAGCAAGGTGAAATATTCCCCTTTCCCACATACCAACATGAAGTGCTTTAAGCTTTCTTCACGTATGTTGCATGCAGTTTCTTCCAAAGCCTGTCAAGAGTCCTTTTAGCAGATGTCTTGGTTTTCGTAACCAATTGTAACAAAACTGTAGCAGAAATATTAGCTGGAAAATCAGCTAAGTTATTTTTTCCTATGCAATAGAAGGTTTCCATACAGGGAGAGGAGGTAAGTAGCTGTGTTATGCTTAATTTACTGTAAAAGTGCTTCTGGAAACAGATCACTGAAAGAGGAATCCTACTCCCATAGAACGACACTTCCAAAGTTCACTGAACAGCATAGTTAGAGCTTTTCACTATGGTCGATCGTGCGCTTAGGTCTCTACTTCTATCTGAGCATCAGGATATCTGTAGGGCTAATGTGGAATCCCAGTATCTTGTCCTGAAGAACATAATCATCTCATGATCAGAACATCATTATCATGATGGTAAACCCTAGTTACCATTATCGAGAGTGTTTTTGGGCTGACATACCAAATGATAGGGGAAGGTTTGACAGGTCGCACAAAAAGGGGAGATCTTAAAAGTGGGGCCCTACAGGCAATAGAATCATAGAATCACAGAATGCTTAAGGTTGGAAGGGACCTCAGAGGTCATCTAGTCCAATCCCCATCTAGTCCAACCCCACCAATAGGTGAAACAAAGTGCAGTGCTTTTAAATGTTTCCATCAGTGATCTGAAAATAAATCTAAGACTGCTGATTTTTTCTGCGTGTGTTATGAGATTTAGAGAAATAAATAAAACCAATGAAAGATCCATATGAGATGACCTCCCAAGATAGGCACAACCAAAATAAAGTAAGTTTTGAGTTAGTTGCTTTCAAGCTGAGGCACAAAGGCCCCCATGGGTGAGTGTATCCTGGCTATGTAACCCGTGACCAAGACCTCGCTGCAGGAAATGGAGTAGGGATAACCAAGAGCACAACACTGATCAGAGTAGATGCTCTAATGGTTTCCTTTCTCCTCAGTCTCCTAAGAATCAAGTCAGAGGCAGAAAGCACGTTTGTCTTGCAGTAAATATGGCGTGTTATAATCCAGAAAAACATACTCTGAATCGCTGCCCTTATTCCCTGCAAGCCTGTGTCCGGCTGTACGTGGAAGGTTGCTTGGAACCATGTTGTCCCTCGTGCCCTTGTCCAAGGCGAGGGAGGACGGTGGATGCCCTCAGCCCCCGGGATAACACGAGGGCTCGCTGCACTCAGCGCATTCTCACCCTTTGCTCCTGTCTTGATGAGCCACAGTTACTACAGGGGAAAGTAATTTGCTTGAGAATTACTGTTTTGGTGTGAAAGGAGCCTGTTTAGACTGCGTAAACAGGGTTCCTCTCTCTAACTCATCACATCAACATGATATATGGTAATGCATTCATCTGAACAGGCTGCACAGCACTTCCATTGGAGAAGTCAAGTAATCAGTTGCTTCAGCTATTCCATAGAGGATCAAGATACAGCATATCTTTTTTCCTACCTAGGCTTATAAAGCTGTAGAGAGGCTTCAATTTCCTTTTGATTAAATAATGTAAGAATAACACACACATATATATATATATTGATTTTTTTGATTTCCTACTTCCAGGTCTGTTGAAAACATCGTAATTCAAAATCATTCTTACGTAGAAGTGGGCTGGTCTTCACAGCTCAACACTAATCTCATTTCCTTGCCCTCTGCATCCATTCAAAACAAAAAAGTGGGTTAATGCAAAGTGTGATTTGCAAATCCTTTCTTACTCATTAGCGATAGTGGACATCTCAACTACGAGAACTTGAATAAATGCACTCGAGTTATTTACTGACTCGGAGACGAAATCTAGTTAAAAAAATGCAATTTACGCACATTTTAGCTAAAACCTGTATTCACTTTTTTGAGAGAGAGTTTTGCAATTTTAGTTTTCAGCTACAGTTACTCTGTGTGTGGCTTTTTACATAGTGAAGCTGTGTCAGTAAACGGCTGGGGAAACAGGCTGCACGTTTGAACGGAAGTGAACTTTCCTTCCCCACGTGCAGCCATTGCCTTCATTGTCTCTCTCTTGCCCAATGTCAATCACAAAGGATTTCATGCGATTAATGTTGTGTTTTCCAGCTGAAATAAAGATCTGCTTTAAATACTACCATGGTGTTAGTGGAGCCCTCCGAGCTACAACTCCATGTATCACTGTGAAAAACCCTGCTGTGATGGTAAGTTTAGCCGATTTGTTTGTTCATTTTATGTGTGTAAGAAGATAACATTAAATATCTATTTATATCTATCTATCTATTAAATAGCTATTCATGATCAAAAAAGAAATCCCTTTGCGCAGAATTTGACTTTGCTTGCTTTCAATTTGGAGGCTGCAGATAGACTGTCATTTCACGCCCTGGGTAAACACTTTCCAATAGCTATCTAGTTCAAACTGAATACTTACCAAACTCCCCGTTCCTCATTACTCCTTGTTAATATTTAAAGTTAAGCTGTTGATGAGACAGTGATTATTAATATAAAAAAAAATTGACTTTAGAATACTCTTGAATTTGACTACAATACTCGCCTTGCAGAAACAAGTGAATTCTTTGAGTGTTCATATACCATTAAAGTATAGATTAAATACACTAGTGAGAGTTATTGTTTCCTTATTACAATTTCATTCCAACACTTGTTCCTTTGAAATAAGGATGTTTTAAAGAAATCTTGAATTGTTTAAAAGAAATATCTTCATTAAAAACAAGCAAACAAAAAAACCCTTCCTTTTTTAAGAATAGTCTTCCGATTTTGCATGCCAGGTAGTTTTGATTATCAACCAGGCCTAAGATTCAGGTCACACAGTGTTACACAGGGTGTTTGCTTCCCTGATGTCAGCTGCCAAACACATAAAGCCACATCTGTCAGGAGGGTGTCTGGGCAACTACAGTCTTGAAAATAGCACAGAGCACAAGTTACTCAAGCTAGTCTGCTTTTAGTCTGGTCTTTCACTTCAACTTTTTCAACATTGTATACTAAGTACAAGTTGATATTATGGCTACATAATACAGTATCTGTTATCATAGATACTATACTGTATGTTATAGTAGACTGTTTACTGGAGGTAAATGGTCTGTGGTGATGTCTCCTATTACAGAAATTTTGGTAAGTGTGAACAAGCCAATGCTTCCATGCTTCTTTCAGTCTCTAATAAATTACCTGCCTACTTGGATCTTTCTGAATTTTGGTATTGCGTGACTAGCCATTTGTCGAGCACCAGGTCGCACTATTTCATTGTCATGTAAGCAGTTAACCTTCTGATGTGTTCATTTACACACCGTTCTAGTGGGAAAAGCAGGTTGCTGTAGCAATCAGGACAAGTTAAGGTTTCCCGAGGGAGCTAGTTTTCCTAGTTCAAAATTCTCGGTATTTATGTTGGGATCAGATTTGAAAATTAGGAGGGAAAAATTGAAGTTATTGTTTGGGTCATAGTGGAACTGGAAAAGAAGATATAGTGGATGGTGACAATGGTAAGTCTGAAGGAGTATCAGCTTTGTGGGGGACTCCTCTACCATAGAATTGCTAGAGAAGAGAGTTCTGAATCATTGTATTACAACTGAATCGTGGGCAGTCATATTTTTTCTATAAAACACAAGAAATAGTGAACATTAAGTCACTTCATCAGTGACAACAGAAAAACAGAATGTAGAATGTAGAGTGTAGAATGAGGAAGGTGTTTTTCTTGCTGTATAGTTTTTTTAACAAGAAACTACTACATGTTAGAAGAAGCCAGAGAGAGTACACCGCAATACGCCTGGTTCCTAGGACCCCGTGCATGGGGCACAAGCAGGGAATATCCCAGGGATGCATTCCTGGAGCCTGGGCCTGGATCAGGACGAGCTGAGCTGCAAGTTACCCTGTGTGCTTTCAAGGCCCCTCGGGTTTCCTGCCAGCTGTTGCTGCTCAGGGCTCCATACAAACTCCTTGCAATAGGGATGTCGTGGGAAAACAGCAGCATTTGGAGCATCGTAGTGAGAAAGGTTGTCCCTTGCGAAGGAGGGTGAGTCACGGCCGGAGCCACACGCCGAGGAAGCGGGCGGGGATGTGCACAGCGTCGCTTCCCGGCACCGCGCGCCCGGCCCCAGCGTCACGCTGCTTCCTCTGGCCCTGCTTTTCTTTGCCCAGGTGCTATGCTCAAAACGAGAGTCTTGCAAGGAAAGAAATTCTGCAGTATCAGGTTTTGATTTTGTCCGTGGTGTGTATATATACTGATTTTTGTTTTGTTCTTTCAGTATGCTTGCTAATCCTGGGAAGTATGTGAAAGTTAATGATATTAAATTGCTTAAAGCAGTATGAAAAGGTATGGCTGCGTTTTCAGCCGTTTCTGGCTATTGAGTCTCCCCCAATAATTTATCAATCCTATAACTTCCAATTCATCTTTAAACAAATGTCCAGATGTTAAATATTACTTTTCATACTTAATTGACACGCACACCGATGTTAATTTTTTATTTGGCTTATTTTTATTGCTTAATAGATCAGAACGCTTTCTGTTTTACTGCTAGTATATATATCACCAGTGTAGTGTTTAGATGAAGCTTTGTCAGACTGGGTCATCTCTTCTGAGTACAGGGAGTACAGGGAGTACAGGGAGAGCCATTTCACTTCTAATGTAATCCCATCAATGTTTTTGTGTGAGATTTCTTAACTGGATTCACATCTTTCTCTTGAAAAACACATTTTTCTATTCACCGTAAGAACTCTACTTGTGTATAAAATAATAGGACATATTAACACATGAGAAAGTTTCATGAGGAAAGTAATACAGAAAATGTTTGTTCAGAAAAGTAGAAAAGAAACTCTCAAAATCTCTGGAATATGAGCATAGCTTTTGGAGAGCATTCATAGTTAGATAACTGAAATACAAGAAAAGAAATGTTGTTCATAGATGTGAACGCTTTTGTTAGTGTAGTTGTGATTTCTTTCCTGAATCTTTTTTGCTGCAAAACAAACTGTTTTAGAAAATCCACAAAAAGTTACCCTAGAAAATCCACAAAAGTTACCCTAACAATCCCAGCTAGCACATATTTGGTATCTCGTACCAATTTGTCCTGTTGATCCATTTTGAAACATCAAAGCCCATAAGAAAATACCTTTTTTTTTTTTTTCCCCCCCCGATCGATCATTTCTTCCCGTACTCGCTCTGCTCCAATGATCCCAATGTTAACACCACATGACATAAATAGTAGGTGTTTTCCTAGAAACAGATACTGTAACTTTTCCTCTGGGTAATAGGCCGGAGTTCCCTTGCGTACTGCTTTACAATTGCATAATCCTTGTCAAACATGCCTAAAAACAGATGAAAACTTCAGGATGTTCTTCATTTTTCCTTCTCTTCAGATGGGAGTAGAAGGCATGGATGAAGGTGCTTCTGGAGGCCAGCACTCTCGGAAGTTAGTCAGCTTTACCCTTTCAGGTAAAAAGCAGTTCTGATCTAATTTTTGCAAATTAGTTCTACAAAAAGAGGAAAAAATGTGTGGAAAATAATGCATGTCTTTGTTAACCTCTCTAGGAGAGAGAGCTCACTCTAGTGACTTGAAAGACATCATTGTAGAGGGAGAACTTTTTGCTGGAAATAGGCTAGATTTGCAAATCTCTAGAAATTAAAGAAAGGGATTTGGCAAATCTCAGCATGAGAATGTGCAGAAATTTTTCAATTTGCTCAAGGGAAAAATTACTCTTAGATTAAGAGTGGAAAACGTAGCTCCGAAATAAATTGCAAGTTCATCCCAAGCGTCTGAAGAAAGCAATAAAAAAGCAATGCTGCAAATGGTCATTAAAAAAAAAAAAAATATATATATATATATGCTGGTATCAAAGGGAGTGAAGTTGTCACTACCACAAAATAGCTGAGTGGCACCAGCCTCGCTTGTTTTCATTAGCACTAGAGCATGAATGTTCAAAAACATTCCTGGTTTTCCTTCCTTTCGTACAATTTGAAGAAGACTCTTGGAAATGTGTGTCCTTCTGAGCCTTTGTTAAGACAAAGACATCCAAATGTGTAAGAAAACACTTTTGGATGAACACATGTCAAATTATTGAGACTCAAGTAATGGCGAAAGATGGATGTTTCATAGCAGGCTCTAAAATGAAGGGGAAATAACGTCGTGAGCCAACTGGCAGAATCTTCCTGACGAGGTGCTTTTTATAAATCATGGCACTATATGTCAGACATCCTCAGTAACATTGTACAGTATATTACCATATTAGCAAATCAGTGTGAAATAAGATTGTTAATGCAATTGCAAAGTCATCTGCTTCATCCCTGCAGATCTTTTGCAGATTTGTGATCTGTGCTTGTGCAGACTAATAGAATGTGAAGATGTTTTTAAAAGGGGATAAAGCATGGTCTTCTCATTGCTGGGGAGCATTAGTCTTTTGATGGCTCTCTTGCCCTTCCCTGCTGGTGGATGGTCAGGGGCTGCTGGACGAGGAGGGCTGCCTGTGTCAGAAGCAGCTCTGCTCTCTCCTGGCAGAGCAGTTTCTGAAAAGCTGTAGCTCACAGATCATGAGCTCTGTGTGTGTTTGCTGCACACAGAGTTGATGTTTTGGAAGGGAGCTACTTCCTATTTCATTGCATTTCTACTGTGGAAGTGCATTTATCTCTTTAAGTTGGATATATCTTAGGTAGCAAGATGAAAGTCTGTGTAAGATAGAAGTTCATGCTATGTTTTATGTTATGTGTGACTGGAGGCCAGAATGTAAATGAGGTCATTGATGCTTTTCCTCTGTATATTCCCCTGGGAAAACGTTTGTCTTCCTGCTTTAACTATCTGCCTAGTTATCAGTTACTGTATGACTAATGTTAAGTTGCTTTCCTTAGCGGTTTATGGTAAATTGATTTCGTGCTTAATATTTTAGGATATGCCAGTTCACGATCTACTTTTAATTTCTGTGTTCTTTTATTTTTTTTCTTTAAAGATATTAGGGCAGTTGGACTTAAAAAAGGCATGTTCTTCAACCCTGATCCTTATCTAAAGATGTCCATTCAGCCGGGCAAGAAAAGTACGTTTCCCACATTTGCTCATCACGGTCAGGAAAGAAGGTCGACTATCATCAGTAACACAACTAATCCTATTTGGCACAGAGAGGTAATGTATGCCTTTTAAGAGCTGTCTGCCAGCTGATGCAGTATACGAGGCTTATATTTTCTCTCTATGATTTGGTCCCGGTGGTCTCAAGGTTTTGAGCCTATTTTCTAGCCAGCGATTTAAAATGACACACAAATTAGAGTAATTCTAGAAGACCCGGTGTTGGATGCAAGCAGCTATCATCAGCATGTTTAAGCTACATGTTTATGCTACACTGCTGTGAGGTTTTCATTCCCTTCTCTGCTACCAAGAGTTGGATTCACTCAGCAACCCTTGCAATTGCAAGAATAAATTAATTAACGTGGATTGTATGCTGCGAGCAGCCGCTTTAAGCAAAGGTGCAATGAGAGAGAGCATTTGTACTCTGTGATTGCAACCACTGTTCATTCAGAAAGGATGCTCTCATTGCACGTAGCAGTTGGCAAGGTTTCTGTTGTGTCAGGCAGACAGGGTGCTCTTTGGCATGCTGTATGTGCTGCTGTAGAAATGGAAGGAATTTACAGAAGAAAAGGCAGAGTGACAGAAGCTGCTTTTCCTCTTCTGTTTGTCTTGAGTCACCTGTGAAGCTGTGCAGGTCTCGGGGAGGGACCTGCAGCAGTGCTGTCCCATGGCTGCCTTCAGCACGTAAGCAAAGCCACATCTTTGGAGAGAAGTGGTTAGGAAGGAACGGTGTTGAAATAAAGCCCTCCTCAACATCAGAAGTCCATAGTCTTTGCAGACCAGTGAGTGGATTTGGAGAGTATTTCTGTGGATTTGGCCTTGTTTGATTTGCTTCCAAAGCAGGATGGGGCAGGGCTGGCATTTGCACTGAGTGCTTGGTTGTGAGAAAGACTGTGAACTCTGAAAGACTTCAGAGCTGGAGAGTTTTAATCTCTAAATCGATTCACATTCGTTTTGTCTGTCTGTCCATCTAATGCACTGCAGGAAAATGCACTCATATTTTCTGCCATCCTTTTCGTTCATTCCCCTGATTTTGCAGCTTATTGCAAAAGGGATAATACTCACTAGAGCATACGTTGTATCATCTTGCTTTAACTGCTGCATCTTCCCTGTAGCAATGCTCTGACAATACCAGCTTATGATCCCATTACATATGCTGGTCTAGTGGTGCAGAATTGATCCTTTTTTTGCATCTACTCCCTTCTGCACAATGATATGCAATTTTAGAGCAAACTGAGAGCGAGAAATTTTGTGTTTATCACAACAACACAACTCTGCCATTCATGCTGCATGAGAAAGCAATTTTATTCCTAACCCAGTTTAATTGTTGTTTTTGAATATAGTAAGTGTATCTGTAGGGGAGCTGAAGGATTGTTCCTTGTTTTGACTCTGTTACATGCAGACACAGTTACGTGCTCTGATACATCCTCAGCTATCCAGCTTAGAGGCCTGTTAGCCATGGTACTGAAGTTGTGATTTGCCCAAGAGATCTTAAAAGTAGAGGGTTAGCATAGGCTTTTCTGAGCAGATTTTACCCACACTCTTTTTGTTTGTTTGAAATATGAATTAGAGAAAACAGATCTAGACCTACACTCCTAAGGGGGGTTGTCTGCATGGGGTGTGCATGCATGCACTCACACTCACATACCTGCCCATGCACCAGTTTGGAATCTTTTGGCCACCTTCAGTGCAAAATAAATTAACTCTACACTAGTGTGGTGCTAGAAGGGAAGTTCTTGAAGCACAACCTGAAAAAAGACTCTTTCCTCCTCCTTCACCCTGCACCGCCATTCCCTGAAGGTGTACGGTGAGAATTCCTTCTCCTTTTCCTTCCTGTTTTTGATGTGGACCAAAGTGCCTTTCTTGCAGGGCAGTTTCCTCCTGAGCACTTAATTCTGAGGAACAGTAAAGGCAAGCGTTTCCAGAGAGGCTGATTACATGTGTGGAAATACAGCTCTTAGTAAATGATACATTATTCTGCACCATGGAGAGTGCTGTACTCATCAGTCTCTGCTTTTGGTGTTCACTGCAAACTGGTAGTAATTATGTGCATACTTTCTGGATAAAGGTGTATTGATACGGTGTCAAATATGTTCTTTCCTTCCAGAAATATTCTTTTGTTGCACTTCTAACAGATGTCCTGGAAATTGAGGTTAAAGACAAATTTGCCAAGAGTCGTCCTATCATCAAGCGCTTTCTTGGGAAGTTAACCATACCCGTTCAGAGACTATTGGAGAGACATGCCATTGGGTAAATTAATATGTTTTTAATGCTAACTTTCACTCAGGGTTGACTCAACAGCTGAGATACGGGCGCAGAGCAACCTCATCCAGCTAGGAGGAAAGTTAAGAAATACCCTTACTAAGAATATGTAGCCTTATTGCCTGCTTGGAAAACATTTGTGTTTCTGAACCTGTTCTGAACATACCCATGTTTGTATATACATGCATGTGTAGTTGTTTCTTATAGTTTATATGTATCTTTCTGTGGGGAACTAACCAAGAAGCAAGGCACTGTTTAGCACAGCTCTGTACAGTTGTGTGCAAATTTCTTGGAACAAGCCGATTTTATTGTCTCACTTCTTTTACACTTTACACTTTTACACTTGAAGCATTTTTCATTGTCGGTTTAATTAGCAAAGTTTTAATATCCCTTCAGCCAAGTGGGCCGAACTGCGAGACTTGTGAAGCAAATGCTGGAGGTGCAGCAGTGTGTACAGAAATCTAATTTTACCTTTAAGAAAAAGCAGTATAGTACAATATGTTATTTTTGCCAGAATCTTTTGACCTTTGCATGCTAGATTTGACACATCAGGTAGAAAAAATAATTCAACAGAAGGAACCAGATTGTTCGAATCTGTTTTGTATAGGGCTTAAATCAAACTCTAGCAGACTTGATGTGTCCCTATTAACTGTAGGTGGGGATGAGACCCACATGGAACAGTGGAAGCATGTTTTCTTCCTGGAGAGTTTAAGAGCATGGTAGTATCCTCATGCTTTTCTACAAAAAGCAGGATATAAACAACTGCCTCCTTTTTTAAAGATATTCCCATTAAAATAACAAGCTGCATAAATGGAGCACAGCAAATTCAATTTGAAAACAGGTTTCAACTGTAAGTTTACAAAGTGGTGGTTACACAAGTAAAAACAGAATAAAATGACTAAAATGTTAAGAGTAATCTTAAAATTCTGATTGTGTCTTCTGATACAGAATTTGCTTTAAGAAAATGAAGACCTGCCCATACACTTTGTAATAGTCTCCAAGTGCAGTTCAGGTGTACACACATACAATCTAACATTCCGAAGAAATATTTCATCTGAGTTTCGATAGATGGTTCTAAGTTAACACAAGGAGCTTTTTCTAATAAATTTGCCCAATGCTACATACTTGGAACACCACAGTGACAAAGATTTTCTTTCAAAATCTGGTTCAGGGTGGTCATTTCCATACTAAATCCCCAAATGTTCCTCTGTCCTGGGATTCCTGGTGCTGTGAAGTCTGGGAATCGCTTACCTTGTTCGCTGCGTCCAGTTCTTTTCTTTTTCTTTTTCCCTAAGCAAAATTGCTGGAAGAGATTTTCTGCTTTCTTCTTCTCCATTCCTCAGTAAAGTATATTCGATAAATCAGATTTTTCAGGGGGAAAGGAAGAGATGTATAATACGTATGTAGGTGGGACCTGGGTAAGAATTCAGTTTGCTTTTGCCATGCTGCTGTTGGAATAGACCTGAAGTAAGTCTTGCAGATGTTTTTGCTTCTGTCTGCAATTTTTTTGCAGTCTGTTTTTTTTTTGCTGGTGGTGGTGGAGGGTTTTTTTGGTGCATATCACACACAAGTATGAGAAGGAAGGACACCCAGAGCAGGTATTTCACAGGCTGCTATAATCCTGACAGACAGGATCTCACAGAGTCCTGTGGAGCTCTCAAATGCCAATCCTGTGAGGACACCCCAAGGCTGACTGAAGAATTGTAGCTGGAGCACAGCGAGATGAATCTGTGGTACAGATACGCAGTGATTTGGTGCACTGTGGCCCATAGAGCACCCAGAGGAGGCCACTTTGCCTCACATTGTCCACTTGGGACTTCTTTTTCCCCCAAAAACTCATGTTTGCATGCACACTATTTAGTTTATGTCACTCATATTGCAATCAGAATGCTCCCAGCAGAAGAGAAATGTTTATACCCATGATAATTTTTCAGGGAGATCTTCAAAGGATCTTTCTTTCCCCTCGGCTGAGCTGAAGGCATCCGTGGGCTGTATGTGTAGCCTAGGATTTTATCCAAGTGCCAAGTTGTTACTGGTACTTAGTAAATCTGAGTTTCATTGAGTTCAGCAAATTGTAAGCAGGTATTTGAAGTTAAATTCAAGCATTGAAAACTTATGTAAATAGGAACAAATTTAGACAGATCAAAAAAAAAAAAAAAAAAAAAAGGCTTGGAGTTTCAGATAGAGTAAAAAGCCACAAGAGGGCAGAAGGTTTTCAAAAATGCAAAGATTTTGTTAATTACAAAATATAAGCATTTTAATTTGGATATTGAGGAGGCAGAGATTCCATTACAGTTTGATTTCTTTTGGAATTATGAGCGAGTTAGGGGTTATAAGAGAGTTTCTGGGGCACAGTCTCTATCTGCAAATGATAAAAAGTAGCATGTCAGTTAACTTTGGGGCATTGTTAGCATTTGTCTCCATGCAAGTCACAACTTGAGACTGGTTTTAATAGTGCAAAAGTCAATGCATGTTGATTATATATGATAAAAGTATCTAATATAAAATGCCAGAGAAGTAAAAATAAAACAGTTAAAACTATAAAGATTAATATCTGTGGTATTTTTTACAGAGATCAGGTTCTCAGCTATAATCTTGGCAGAAGGCTCCCAGCTGATCATGTCAGTGGATACCTCCAGTTCAAAGTGGAAATCACATCTTCTGTTCATGAAGGTGAGAGTTGTCAGTGATCTGGAGCTTTAGATAGGATAACAGGAGAGCTACCACAGAAATTCTAGGATTTACAAGTGCTTCTCATTTGTGTACAGTGTCTCTGTTGCAGCTTTTCTCTAGCAGGAGTCAAATTTGGGGGTATTTCAGATACTCTTTGGAGATACCATTGCTGAAATATTGATAACTTCCTCTATTGTTCTTCTGTTTTATTAGAGTTATATTTTGAATGGATGTGTTTATTATTCAATTTTATGGGACATATTAGGTAGTTTAATTCATTGTTTCTGATCTCTCTGCGGCACGTAAGGTGGCTACCTGTGGCTGAGATGAAGAGTTGCAAGTGAGATTCCACCCACGATTCTCCTCCTCTCCAAGCATATATGTAGATCACACTGTCATTTTCCCCTGACAGGACTCTGTCCTGCTCAGAATTGAGAATATCTCTCATAGTGAGAAGAATATATGCTTCCATTAAGCCATTCTTTTAGTTCTCTTTTTTTTTTTCTGTCCTGAAGGCAAGTAGTAGAACACTGCTAATGCAGTTGCATGTTTATGACCTAATATATGACTATTTAGGTCACTATATATCTTAAATTCTACTTCATTGGGCTTGATAAAATCTTTATTAGTGAAATATTGTCCTATTTTTTAGCTTTATACAACTATCCTTGTCTTATTTGTACCTATATGGTCCTGTATCTAATTATTTTTTGCTCTGTCGCTATTAAAAACACGCTTGTATTAAGATGTTTGTTGCCAGCCATTCTGGCCGGTGTATTTGGTGATTTTAAACTTCTTGCACAGAAGTACAGACACTTACAGCTGGATTTTTCCAATCTGTGCCTGTTCAATTCCCACTTGGGGAATTACTAACTCATCGCGCAAATGAGAGAAATATGCTATAAAAAAATCACTCTTTGATTGAGGAGTTGACTTTACAGACAGTTTTGCAGGATGCTGGACAGTGCTGTGCCATTTGAAAGCAGAATGAGGAAGTCCTTTGCCATGATGCTTCACAACCATAAATTTCCCTTATCCTACGAGATATTATAAGTTTATATAGAGGAAATTCTGTTATTGTTGCAGATGCCTGTATTGATGTAACTGTAAGCATGTCTTGAAACATGTATTTTTATACCATACCTGTGATGCAAAGAGAATGGAATCAATGGTCTGTAACTATGTCATGTGTTCAATCTTTTTGTGTTGCTCTGCAGATGCTTCCCCAGAAACAGTGGGTACTTTGCTGGGAGTGAACTCTGTCAACGGAGACCTGGGGAGCCCCTCTGACGATGAGGACATGCCAGCAGGACATCACGATACGTCTACAGTGTGTTCCAATGGGCCGGTCCTCGAGGAATCTTCTGGAGAAGCAATTCCCAAACACCCTTTAAGGACTAGTGCAACTCTGGAAACGGACCAGGATGAGTTAACCTCTACTGCTTCAAGATCATCACCTACCAGAGGTCGCCAGGACTCTCTGAATGACTATCTGGATGCAATAGAACACAATAATCATCCCAGACCTGGGACATCTGTTTGTGGTGAGCGTCCCCTTGGGGCCTCCCCAAAGCTGAGGAGTAGCTTCCCTACTGACACAAGACTTAATGCTATGCTTCACATTGACTCCGATGAAGAAGAGCATGAGCTACATCAAGACCTGGGCTTTCCATCCTCCTTGGAAGATGATGGTGGTCTAGTAATGCTTAATGGTGCTACAAGAAATGTTGAAAGAAATGGTTCAAGTTACTCCTCAGACCAGATAATGCAAGGACCTGCAGAGAATGAAGGTGCTTCAGCCTCTGAAGCTCCTTTGCAATCAGCTGAAGACCAGCAAGAGGCTCTCCAAGAGCCATCATCCCAGGTGGCAGGAGATGAAAGCCTGCAAGACTCTCAAAGTGACCCACCAGCAGAACAGAGTGGCAGTGAGTTATGTGCTGCTCAGGAGGCAGAGCAGCCCCCTGGCAGTGCGGACTCGGGAGCTGTCGATGCTGCTGCTGGGAGCAGAAGAGGAGCTAGTGAGACGGAATCCATCGACCAAGGCTCTGAACCTTCCCAGGTGTCATCAGAAACGGAGCAGAGTGACCCTGCTCGCACGGAGAGTGTGAGTGAGGCTAGTACCAGGCCGGAAGGGGAGAGTGATGTGGAAGGGGCAGACAGCTCTTGCAATGAAGGTGCCACCGTGCAGCGTTCCTCCGTCGGAACACGGTGTTCTTCTTTGGAAAGCGCTCGCTTTCCTGAGACCCCGGCCTTCACTTCTCAGGAAGAGGAAGAGGGAGCTTGTGCCGCTGATGCCGCTAGGACTGAGCCTGTGGCTGAAGCACAGGCCTCTGCAGATACTTCTGGCTCTTTACCCGCCATACAGGTCCCTCAGGAGGAGGTGCAGGAGGCTGAAGCAGGGGAATTGCAAGACCAAGAGGAAGCAGAAGAAATTTGGCAGAGGAGGAGCAGCCTGCAGGCAGCAGCGGCCGGCAGCCAGTCTCAAGAGGAGGAAACTGAAGGAGCCCAGGCAGCTTGTGAGGGGGCTACAGCAGAGCTTGAAGGAGCTACTGGAGGTAATAGCTGCAGGAGGCACTTTCTGAAGTGACTCGTCCTTTCTGCAGCCATTGAAAATTATTTTTAAAGTGAACACATGAAAATAAAACCCTTATTTAATCTCACAGTTCTCAATATCTTTCAAGATTTTTTTTTTTTTTTTTTTTTTTGGTTTCCATGAGACTTACTTTGTTCAAGAAGCTCTGAGGCCTTTTAAAATGAAGGGAAAACTGAGTAGCCAAGCAATGCTTACTTTGAAATTAGGAAAAACTGATTTTTGAGAGAGTATTGGTAAAGGTGAATAATTCTGCATTATCACCCCGTTAGTTAAGCAGAAAAGTAATAAGGGAAAAACAGAGCGTGGAAACTGAAAAACCTTCCTGTTTTCTTTGAATTGTTTTTGAGGTGAAGAAAATACATGTATATTTTAGCAAACAAGCATAAGGATATTAAGAATCAGATTTTGGTTGCACTTCAGATTGATTTGGCCTATTTTTCCAACTCCTTCTCTCTATGGGCACATCATAGTGCTGTTGGAACCATTGGTTGGAACCATTGGTTGGAACCAATGGTTGGAACCATTTCTCATCTAAACCATATAAAAATTTCACCAGTTGTAAAATAGAGAATTTAGTGTGTTGTTAAATTCATTGAAAATAGAAAGGTGTCCACAATAGATCATTCCCAAATACGGATTCATCCACTCCCTTTCTTCAGGGACTGAAGTGCATGTCATCAGGTGGATGCAATCAAGGAGGAGTGTTGGATGCATCCTGTTGATAATGTTTCTGAAGTTGGGATCCTTTCCCTGTCCTTGAAGCTCATTTTGTTCTGGAGACCCCTATAATAAATAATCTCTGCCATAAAATTTTATTGAAATTAACTAAATATTCCCAAAGAGCAAATGATTTTTTTCGAGTCTGAGAGTGCTAAATCGCCCCAGAAATCTCAGGGAACAATGTTTATTTCAGGGAACAGGATTTTCTAGACATGGAGGAGATTGTTTAGTAGGTGTCAAATCGCATCTTGTTTTGCAGCAGCAAGGCGGGGGGTCAGTGGAGCTTCAGCTTTGGCTCCTGACAATTCCAGAGCTGGGATTGCAGAGAAAACATTTGCCTGAAACATAGATGATTTTTCTGAAAAAACAGATCAATATTAGGAGTATCCTAAAATGCTATACAGAAGCCTTGACCGCCTCTCACTCGCTTTAGAGAGAACTCTGGGGGCTTCCTCCTATTGACTGAAAGATAATTTATGTGCATTTTGATTTTAGGTGCTCAAGCTAATGGCCATCAGCCGCTGAGGTCGCTGCCTTCCGTGCGTCAGGATGTTAGCCGCTACCAGAGAGTGGATGAGGCTCTACCACCAAGTGAGCTTCTTCATGCTTTAATTGGGGGATAGCCTGCTTAGATCTCATTATTGTTATTATTGATGTGTTACTTTTTATTAGTAGTAGTATTATTTTATTGTTTTTAACATGAGAACTGGAAGCGAACAACTGAGAGGCTCCAAGTGAGAAATTATGATTAAGTCTAGGATTGTTTTGCAAAAGGCACTGTGTCTGCACAGAAAAAAATGTGTTGCGGTGATCATACCTAATGTATACAGACTTGTTAAGGGAAATTTGTGGAGAAGTAGGATGAAATGATATTGTCTTTTCAGCATACAGGACCCAAGGGTAAGGCAGTGAGTCTGTGTGAGGCACTTTGAAAGCTATGGATATGCTTCATATAGTGAAGACTGGTGAAGAAATATGTAATGTCTTTCAGTGTCCTTTGCACAGATTAGATAAAAGCTACCTCTGTTACTTGCCTTTTTTTTTCTGAGAGTCAAGGCCTTCTGAGTATAAAATAAACCTGGTTATTGAGTAAGTGTTGCGTGCTCCTAATTTGGCTGACAAATTGTCTTTTCCCATTTATCTGATACCTATCAAAAATATATCATTCCCAACTGTGGGACAGATCAGCTAAGCTAAGCTAAATCTGGAGCAACAATGTTCCAATCAGTAAGAGATGTTTAAAGAAAGGACAAAAAAAAAAAAGAAAGAAAAGAAGAATAAAAAGAATAAAAAGCTGTCCAACCAATAGAAAAACATTATGTTTAATATTTCCTAAGCAGGTCCACTATTATATGCCGTTAGTCTAGAATACACCATTCCTAATTTAATGTGCATTATTACATTAGGAACAAATAGTTTAGAAGGTTGTGATCATTAGCAGGAAGAACCACGAATAATATTTTAAAGGAGTCAGGAATTCAGATATTGAGTTTAAAAGTGATATATTTGGGTTTCACTGTGTGGAACAGGATTGTGTTTAATTTGTAATTAGAGAAGGTGATTGTAAGGAATCTGATATCAAAACTCAGATATAGCTACATATTGAAATGTCAAAGTGATGAGAAGACTTTATTTCCTTCTGTTTTCATAATAATAAGTGTATATAACAACTCAGACCTGTCCACAGATCCAAAAGGTAATCAACTACCACCTCAGTAAACTGGTATTGCTTTTGATAAAATTGTGCCTGGTAGAAATATACTTAATTTGCATTTGGATCGCTTTTCATCCCGAAAAGTGCAGAATATTTTGGGAAATGTTCAATGGTCAGGGGTGGTAAATGAGAAATGCATTCAGAAAGCCTTTGTAGGGCAGTAGCTCATCCATGGGCTGCCTTTTTGGTTTCAGAAGCCAACTGTGGACTTTAATAACTAAGCAGTCTTGCTTGAATGTTAGTCAAAAAGATTTGACCATTTTAGCCAAAGCTCTAGCATTTCTGCCACTTACTAGGATTTACTCAGTCCCACAGGTGCGTGTGTTATACACATGTACCCCTATAAAATCAAAGCTTTGACTTACAGAAGGTAATCCTTGTCCATCACAGCAGTGATGCAGGTGCTCCACTTCAGAAGACATTGCTCAAGTCTCTCTACTTGTGTATTTAACATTGAATGAAGGCAAAAATGTTCTTTCTGTGTCAAGATCATGCCATAGAACTGGTGACTGCTGCGTAGAATACTGCTGGTTTATTATTAGCACTGGTTAAATGTTCCTAATAAGAATTTTAATTCCCCAGAAGGTGATACTTTTTTGATTTCAGCAGAAGGTGCTTTTTGAAAATGGGAGCTTTGTACAGGAATATCTATTTCAATATTTGCTTTTTTCTTTAGGAAAAAAATGGAAACAATTTTCAGAGAATGCTGAAACATTGAAATATTTGCTTTTGTTGAGATGAAAATGAGATGGTTTTGTTTGGAACAACATTGAAACATATTATATTTTGAAGAGCCAATACAGTAATCAAGCTATAACCCTTTCTTTGATGTAATTTTCTTTATTTTGAGTTATTATTTTTCATTGACGGTATACTTCAAAATCAGGATGGGGGCGCGTTTTCAGGTTTGGAGAAAGAAGACATCAAAATACCTTTCCTGCCCGGCTTTTACACGTACAAATTCTGCTGTAGACACTAGTAAATTGATTTAATTGTGCATCATAAAGCTAGAAGAATAATTAGCACTACACACAGCTGTCCTGCAGGGATGCCACGTGCCTTTCCGGCCTCCTAGTGACTCATCAGGCCCCCGGGGTAATGTGGCAAGCCGCTCAACTGCCTCCCAGAGCTGACAGCAGTCCTGGTACACACAGAACAACAGAGCTTGAGGTTTTCAGGCTGGCAGCGTTAAATGTTTGCACTAGAATTATTTAGTCCTGTTTCTCTCCCGTCGAGATATTCTTGCAACCTCTTTCCTTGAGGAGCAGGAGGTGCACAGACTGCTTGCTAGCCAGTGGTCTTTGAAGGGTTGAAAGTGTTTGAACATTAAAATCATCTATCTTGGACAGATTTGCTTACCTTTAAAGTAGGTGCATGCAGCATCCAAGAGGAGCCCTGGGATCTGTTTTATTATTACCCTTAGAACCAGAGGCAAGTGTAAAGCTCTGCAAGATTTCTCGTATTTAGCCCTGGCCTTTTGTATTGGGATAAGCCTCTTGGCATAATTTAGAGCAAGAGAATAAAGCTGAAGCTCTTGAATTGGTTTTTTTTCTGGGACAATCACTACTTAGTGGGGGTTCATTTCTATTTATTTTTGTATGCTATTAGATATGAATTCCATAGAAACTCCCTGTGATGGGGGATTATTTATAATGAATTTATAGGATGAAATCAGGGAAAAGCAGTGTTTCTTAACCTTCCAGTGAGAAAGTTCTGTGCTGAAATCATCCTGTAGCAGAGAAAGAGAAATCAAGAGCAGTAGATTCAGCTGCGAAAGAAACAAAGCTAAAAACCTGAATATATAAGCCCAAACCTCTCCACAATTCACAGTATTTCATTGCTTTATTCAGACTGGGAGGCTCGTATTGACAGCCATGGGCGAATTTTTTATGTGGACCACGTGAACAGGACCACGACGTGGCAGCGACCCACAGCCCCCCCAGCCCCACAGATTCTCCAGAGGTCAAATTCCATCCAGCAAATGGAACAGCTGAATCGCCGGTAAGATTTGCTCACGTCGCTTGCACGTTGCGTGGCCACAAAACCATGCAGCCCATTGCACAACTGGGTATGAAGGCCGGGCCCCAGTTGCTGCTGCAGCTGCCCATACATATTTTCATGCCTGTCCCTTTTCGTTTGCGTGTTGCCTTCTAAAGGGTTCCTATTCCACCTGTGTTCTGTGGCTGATGAAAACTGGTTGTCAGAAATTCAGCCCACAAAAGGCTCTTAAACTGAAATTAGGTTGATGAGTGTATGTCAACCTGTATGGGAGAGAAAATAGGTAAGCCTAACTTCATTATTAGAGTCCCCTGGAGCCACAATTGGGTCATAGGTGCCATATTGCTATATATATATATAAGTCCAGTCTCCTATCCCTAGGTACCAGAGTATCCGAAGAACCATGACTAATGACAGGCCTGAAGAGCACACAAATGCCATGGATGGAGCTGCAGAGGAAACGGATTTTCACCATTCTAACGCAGGTAAAAAATAAAAATAAAAATAAAAATAAAAATAAAAATAAAAATAAAAATAAAAATAAAAATAAAGTAAGAGCACTTGACTTGTCAATAATCTGGTAAGAGTGATGTAAGGCAGAACCTACTTTCAGTTCCTGAAAATCTGTGTCACCACTTGCTTCTGCAACTCCATTAGTCAATCTACTATCCTTCCTCTTAAAAGGTATTCTTAAATCTATTGCTTCCTGTTTTTCGCTCATGCATTAATTTTTAGACCTTTGGGTGTTTTGTTAGTCTACCCAGGACAGTCTTCATTTGATCCGTAGCACCTGAATTGTATTTCAGAAAACTAAATAGAGCTACAACTGTATTGCCCAGAGGAGCCTGGTAATTTTGGTGCCATGTGTTAACACACATATATGTATAGAGCACTTTCTTATATACCCATACCATTTTTTCATGATAATTTGATGCTAAGCACAAATATTCAGCCTTTTTTCCACTAAAACTGGATTCGGATCCTTTTTTACAGTTCTTGGATACTGTTTTTCAGCTTATGCAGTTGATTATCCCACCTGCATGTACGCTATCATTATATCTTTACACTTTCCTAATTTGTTACTATGGTTTTAAATATTAATCCTACCCTCCAAGTGCTGCAGCTTCTTCTAGTTGGTGTCATCTGCACTTTTTGTCTTCTTTATCCAGTCATTAATACAGCGAATACAGAAATTGGGTGAGACCTGACAGGTCTCACTGGAACCTCATTTGTGTTCTATTGGGACAGAAATAACTCATAGCTGCTCTTCAGTACAATCTCACCACTGCTCTACACCTTTCTCTTTCTAGTGTCATCCAGTTAGCTAATATTCTCCCCCATTACAGGAATATCAGCTATAACAGCATTTAAAGGCCTAGTTGGTACCAGGGTATATGACCTACTGGCCACTCCTCACAGTAGGAGAGAATTACATTAGTTTGCTATGATTTATTCTTCAGAAAACCCTTTTTTTTTTTTTTTTTTTTTTTTTTTTTTTTTTTTTTTTTTTTTTTTTTTTTATCTTTTTATGTACATTTAATATCTTTTTAATTCTCATGGTTTGTATGTCTGTTTGGAAACA